AAACTGGAAAGTCCTAAAAAGTATTTTTTTTGCTTTATTAGTTTTATAAGCTAATGTCCGTTTTTAGGTAAGAACACAATGAGGAAATCCTCCATTTTAAATATGGCAGTGTCTGTTTAACCACATATCATGTAAAATAGTACCTGTCTACCAGACCTGTGTACTTAAAGGATATTCAAATAAATGATGGTCAAGTTCAAATATTTCTTAAATATTTCGATTTTAGTAATGACATATTTTGTGTACCAAAGAGAGTGATAGTGTGTCAATGACAACAGTGTGCCAGTCACAACAGTGTGCCAATGACAGTAGATTTATTATTTAGGATTGCGTTTACTGCTTTTAACCACATAATGTTAAATTTTTTAAATATATCTACAGCTAATTCCTTATTTATATTGGAATTTACTATGATATAATTTTATACAACTCTTGCCTCACCGAAAGTAATTTATAATTAAGGACAAAGTTTGTTTCTGATAGACAAATCTACAATAGGATTTATATTGTCGGTTAAATAGTCACTTCCATGAAATAATTTGAAAACTACAAAATGTGATATTTTATATGAAAAACATATCGAAAAAAACATTTTATAGTGCTATATATACGATATATACAATGTTATTTTCTATTAAATAAGTTTCGGTAAAAAGATTAGAATCCGTATTATAATCCTGTTTTTACGTATATTTCATATATTGTAAGGCCCATCATTTATTACGACCTACCTTGTCCACTTTTAACTGTACTTTGGTGTGTTTGAAAATTGAAGAAATAACGAGTGTAACTAAACAAATTAAACATACACTATTTAATAGTTAATTTTTACACTATTTAATAGTTAATTTTTAATATGGCAGTCTTCCCAACATATTTGCAAAATTATTCTGTCAGAGAGTATGATAAAACAGTTTAAAATTTAATACTCTTAAAACTGATTAGTTTTGTAAAGTTTTTATGCATATCCCACTTATTATCATAATCTTAAAAAAGATTTAAAAATGGTTTAATAAAATTCCTAATATACTCTGACAAACTCTGTCTTAAGTCTAATTAGTTTTAAGATATTATTTTAAAAATACTCCTAAGAACCCGTTATAAGATTCTCCCTTTTACTTTTAAAGCAGATTTATAGCAGCCCTAAGGCTATCTCGCGGATTCCAAAGTTTTATCAGTGTCTTAAAAAAGGGTTACCTTGTATACTTTGGTAAATCTAAAAATGTTACTTGGGATTTAAGAACCTAATTAAGCCCTACAGTTATATGTTACTAAAATATGTAAAAGCTACCTTCAATTCCAAATTTGTCTTCATAATGCACTAATTTTCCTATACATACAAAATTTTTGTAATAATTATACAGGATAGTCCAAATTTGATATGTATATAAGATATTACTAAATTAACAGGGGAAAAAATTATTTTGGTGTCGCACCTTATTTAAAAAAAATAAACGTGGTATTTTATTTACATCCTGTTATAAATTCTTCCACTGAGTAAAATGCAAGGGTGATTTTTAAAATATCAATATTTTGTTTGGGTGTTTAAATAAAAAATGGTAAATGATATTATCTCAAAAAAATTGACCCCTTGAAAAAATAATCAGTATGACAATGGATTTTACATATGTAACTGTCAAGTTATTAACTTTTTTTAAATACTAACATATTTATTTAAGATAATAAATTATAACAAATTTAGAAAAAAGGATTTAACACATAACTAAGCATACCATGTTTAACTTTTCAAAAAAGGTGACGATATTGTGTTATCAGGTTTGGATATCCAGTTGTATCATGCAAAAGCGTCGAATTCGGACCACCATGTACAAATAAAACAGCTGAGTTTAAATATCTATCTAAAAAAAAGTTTTAGGAAAAAATATTTCAGGGCTGAAACAATTTTGTTTCTTTAACTTAATATACAGGGAAAATAAAAACTGTTTGTAAATCTTCGGAGGTATGTAACTTTTCCGGGCACGGTTTTTTTCCAAAATTTTATACCAAATAAATAATAAAATAATTTTCATCGCAGAATCACCCCTTAAATGTTCTCGGTGGTGTATAACAGCATAACAAAATTTTTCTCAATCTAGTGCTAGTAGATATAATTTTTATTTTCATTTTCTTGAATGATAACAATATATCAGCTCGCCATTTCTAAGATTTCAAACAAAAAATTTCTATTATTTAATTTTTTGGAACAGATTTCTTTGGATATTTTACAAAGAACTTTTTAAACACTCCTCGTAGTTCCTGTTTAAAAATTTAACATGAATGAATTCATCAAGGTTGTTATTATTATTTTTTGCATGTTGTCGAAAACCAACACATTATCTGATCAAAACCAGCGGCTTTTTTTGAGACAACGTCTTTATCAAACCGTGACCAGATCTTTTTTAACAAAACGTTCAACTCCTTAAGCGCGCCTAACGCTCCTTTTGTTCTTGTCCTTCGAGCATAAGAAGAAAAAACCGTTCCTCAACCACTGACAAAAATACGGACATGCAAACAAAAGGCGATTCTCCCCGCCAGCCGTTCGTTTGGGAATGAATGAAAGAGTAATATTTCAAGCCTTGCTGATTTATATATTTCGGTGCAATTAAAATTTCAATTTAATCTTCTAAAAATCTTGTTCTCTCGCTATTCATTTATAGTACCTCTTTATTAACTTTGTTATTATAGTAGGGAACACGTCAGGTAAATTTCATGCTGCTTCAGGCGTACCTCAGGGCTTAAAATGGGGTTCTCCATTTTTCCTATTGCTTGTTAGCGATATTACAAAATTTATTAAATTTTCTAAATACTTTTTATTTACAGATAACCTCAAACTATATAAACAATAAACAATTCGTGACTATGTGTCTCCTCAATAAAACGTAAATAGTGTTTATGAATGGAGCGACAAATTAATGAGTCCGAAAAGGCAAAAAAATTTACTTTATACAGTGGTGTTAAAATTAACTTTCTCTACTCCCCCACATAGATATTAACTTATCTACGCGCAGACTACAAAACGAAAGAGTATGCTATTGCGTTCAACTGAACGAATATATTTTACTTCCATTCTAGGTACTGAAAATACTGCAATAAAATGAAATCCACCAATTACAGTTCATGTTTTGGTCCACCGACTACTATTATTTTTAAAATTTTAAAAAGTGACAATTTAATATGTCGCGCATGGAACCATGAGCTCAATCTGCCTTTCTTGTTTAGAGACGTTATAACTTAATACTTTAGGTTATTATTTAGTATATAGTACATGATTTTAATAGATTATTATTGTCAGATAAATATGAATGTCATTAAAAGATTTTGTTTTTTTTATTGGTGTCTTTGGCTTCAACATCTGAGGTCAAGAGCCACGTGTTCTATGTAGGTTATAGATTGTACTAGTAGTCTAGTACTCCATAGTTCAGTAGTATTAGTACTCTTATACTCCTACAACATCCCTACAGACAGGCCTTGTTACTGTTTCCTCGCGCCACTTTAGGAACAGCACTGTTAATTAGAACCCAACAGTGAATGGTCGAGTGAGGAATCCTACCAAGGCATCAGAATTAATTTATTAAAAAGGAAAATAACAGAATTTTCTCTAAAGACAAGAAAAAAGACTAACATTGGTGACCTCGACGTGATCTGAGAAAATGAAATTAGAATCTAAGAGTCAAATAACTCGAAAGTCCGGACGCATTGGTGCGAGTACTAGAACTCTACCTGACGATTATTCTTGGCTGGAAGGCTTTGGACAGAAACGTATAGAAAAGGATAAAATGTCGAATGGGACAAAGCCGAAAACGACATTTAAAGAAGCGGATGATCGAGAGGGAGGGAGAACAAGGAAAGCACCTTCCAAGATTTCGAAATCCGCCAGCACTAAAGTTAGTTCCAAACAATCCCTTATAGATATAAAAAAGAAACGCATAGCTCTGGAGACTGAAAATTAAATTTAGAGTTTAAAGAATGCTCAAAGAGAAGAGGAAATTAAACTGCTAGAAATGGAAAGAGATTTGCATAATGCTATTTCAGAAGACAGTGAAAAAAATAGTGCATATCAGGGGCGGCTCGTGACCAAAATTTTGGGGGTTCACAGTAGTAGAATATACACTGAAAGTTTTTTCATACATCTGTACTGATACCTGCATTCTGTCACTGTGAACCACCCCACGAGCCGACACTGGTGCACATAGTATCACAGACAAAACATTATTAACATATGACCTTAAATCAAATAGGGTTGTAGATTGGGTATATAGCCTAAACGATAGTCGACCAGTAGAAATTCATTCAGAACACGAAATACTAGGCAGAAATTCTGAAGATGAAAAATGATCCAGTCGATACCAGATGGAAAATGATTACAAGTAAGAAGCTCTGTGTTTGTGGCTTGAAGAAAAACCACCAAAAATTTAAAGGCCGACTTAAGAAGTCCATGGATGTAAACTATATCATCATCTACTTCTCCACAACGAAAAAGTTGAGACAACGAATGTTAATCAGATGACACAAGGGTTCCATAGTAGAACTGATGAAGGAGAGGCAGTATGTACTATTCAAGCTGCCACGAAAAAAGTATATTTAAGAGCCATTTCTATAATCCTTTATGGGGGCCCCACGGCTCTGCAGAAATATTAGCTCTTTGTGACGAATGTTCAACGATTTTATATTTGAGTAAAACTGTCGCCCAAAAAATAGGGCTTAGCGGAACTAGACAAAATTTATGTTTGCAGTGGACAACAGAAAATACAACATTTACTAAAATGTTTCAAAGGTAGGAAGCAGTCAGATAATGTTTACGATGGAAGGTGTTAAAACTACAGAAAACTTATCACTACCTAGACAAATCGTAAAAATCACTGAATTTGCAGAGATATGTGCATTTGAAACACCTAACTCTAAAAAATATCGAAAACGAAGAACCTGTAATGATTATAGGCCAAGACAATATTGACCTTATTATTCCACGTCGAATCAGGTGCGGCCCAGAGAATTCATTGATGGCTAGTAAATGTAAACTAGGTTGGGCTGTACGTGGACCCAAGAATGAGTCAAAGTCACAAAAATCCTCAGAGCAAGTCAATCAGGACACGCATATTCACGAACAGCTAAATGAAGATGAGAAAAATTATGAAAATCTGCAGATGGTGAAAAATTCGCTTGCCACAGAAAGCTTTGGAGTTTTAGTAACACCGAATCGGCTAAATTCAGAAAATTCTATGGCACTAAGAGTTATGGAAGAAACGATAAGAAAATGTAATGACAGATATGAGATTGGCTTATTGTGGCGCGGAGATGATGTCAGATTACCAGAAAGTCGGACCAAAGCAATACAAAGACTGGAATGTATAAAGAGAAAGTGTAGAAGGAATTAAATGTTTGGTATAGCCTATAGAATGGATTTTAACTACTATAAGGAAAAAGGATATTTTAAAAAGCTTACAGCTAAAGAAGCTGCAGATGAAGGCCCCAAAACATGGTACACTTTGCCGTTCAATATGTTAACAAAAAGAAACTCAGACTGGTAATGGATTGCGTGTCTAAGTCACATGGAACCAGCTTCAACGATAACCTACTAGCTGGTCCCAATTTGTTTAATCCTCTAGTAGCTATCCTATGGAAGTACAGGTTTATATTTTGTGAAGATGTGAAAGAGATGGTTCAACCGGTCAGGATCCAAGAATCAGATAGGCAAGAACAGATAATCCTTTGGCGGGACCTAGACCTCAATGGAGAACCAGAGATTTACGAAATGACGGTTATGACCTTTGGTGCCCGTGTGCGCAGAGTTTGCGAAAAATTACCATGCCGTTAATGACCCAAAGTTGAAGGAAAGAAGTTTTATGTTGATGATTATTTGGATTCTACAGCCACGAAAGGTGAAGCAGTAAGAACTATTACAGACATCTGCAGCGCCTTGAAGCAAGCAGGTTTTGAGGTAGTGAACTCGATGGGAAATTCGTCAGTTATTTCAGAAAATTTTCAAGAAATCTCTGCCACTATAAAATGCATTGTTGACATAACGACAGCAAGTGCTGGGATTATATTGGGACAGAAGACGACAGTTTAAATGTACATTAAAATGAGTTATTCTTGTGTAGAATCGATAAATAATAGCATTTCTATTTTTATTTTGTGTATAATTTTAAATAATTCGTTAATTTTAATAAAACTATATGAAGTGAATTTAATTACTAGTATTAAAGCACGGTTCTTCTTATACATAAAAAATCACTCCATGAGTAAGTGGCGCGTGCCATAAGAGAAACAGATATTGTTTTTGATATATTTATATTCATAGAATAAATTTATATTGTTGTGCTTTTTGGCTGTTGATGACAGTCGTTTATGAGGCGGATAATTGAATATCATTTCGTAAATTAAATAAATTAAAAAACTGATATATAAACAAAAAATATAATAATTTTTTTCATTCTCATTAACTTCCCTTGTAGGCATATAATTTGTATTATTAATAACGGTCATGCTTCAATAATGCTAATTTAATAACCTCGCCGTGAACGGTCTTATGGTTTGTAATGATTATTGTCTATCTATTAAAGGAGATTAAAGCGCCACTACCGGCAGAAAATTACACCCATTCATTCGCAGTTTGTCATCGCTTTCTACGAAATTCTCTCAGTAGCGTAGAGATGATTAATTCTTGATGTAATTTTATAAAAAATAGATTTGCAATAAAATATAAAATAGTTATTTTTTTATTATATTTTTCTATTTATCCAGGTAATATAATTGGAGGATAGTTTTGTCTTGCTCTCAGAAACAGATAACCCTCAAATTTTAAATCGTATTAAAAATAAACATTTAAAAAAATACTAGTTCACACGTGCATAGAAGTGCATTTTGCCTAAAATAGGTCACCTCAAAATAAATTTTGAAATAATTACAATTTTCCCAAAAATGTTAGGATCACAAACAGAAGAAGAACCCTCACTACTAAAAATTTGTTGATTTTGCAGGTCGGCCCAATTGTGAAATATTCTTCCTATTGTCCAAATATTGGAAAGTGTTCAATAGCCAACACTTTATATAAATGCTAATGTTAACAAGTGAAATAAAAATTTGTAGTTTAAATGGACACCTACATCGAAAAAAGAAGAGAATAAACTAAAATTCGTATAGTATTCCCACTGACAAACTATTATCCAAGCCTTAGGGACCCCACTCACCTCGTTCTTCTCAGCTGTTCTTACTCGGCGGTTAAAAACGTTGGAAGGAAGAACGTTGACTGAAATATCCACACACAATAGTTTTTTAGAGCCAGTTTATCACGATGGACTGTTGCTTGTTAGCAGTGGTGGCGGTTTTGTAAATGGAAAAGAATCGCGAAAAAAGAAAATCTCGAAGAAAATGGACTAAAGACTGGCTACTTAAACGCAGTACACTGTCACATACAAATTTATTGGAGGAGCTAAGATTGGAGCCTGGCAATTGGCATAATTACTTGAGGATGGACGAGGATACGTATCGGAAACTGTCAAAATTATAACACCGTTAATTGAGAGACATTATACCCATTTACGTGAATGCAGCAGTCCTCACGAACGCCTAACAGCTACTCTGATTTAACTGTTCCATCAGCATCCACTTCTTTGTATTTCACCAATAATGCTTCATACGCCTTGTTTTTCTTGATTCGGTCATGGTATTCCGACGATTTAACTTTCCACACGCAAGGAAATAATCTATAAAACTCGATAAACTTTAATAAAAAGTCTCTGGTCCTCTACCCAAAAATCAAGCCTCGCCTGAAATTTTGGAACGACTTGCATAAACGACGTTCTTGTCCATACACCTCGTTTTTGTGACATTTTTTACCCTGAAGAATGGAAGATTACCCTGGATATATTGTGGGCTTAATATGGGAAGGTCCTACCTTAGTATTCCTGAAGGATATTCGGTAAGTCTGGTATTCCTTATTTGATTAATTAACTGGTAACTATGGTTTTTCTTCCAGGATCATCCAAGTATACAATATGAGTACAAGAATCGGTCACTGGCCGCTGTCGTGAAGTTATCAAGTGATTTATATCGATCTATCTAATCCCAAATATATGTGTTCCAGAAAACTAGTTATCGAGAAGTTAAAAGTAAAACTAGCGGTTAACGAGGGGTCAATGTGACGTTGAGTAGAAATTGCAGTTTTAACGTGAAACTTGCAGGTCTAAAAGGGTGAAAACTATCTAAGTTCCTGAATATCTAATAACTTTATGTAAGTAAATAACTTAATTAAATATTTAATTTGAAAATATGCATAACAAAAGTGATCGAAGGTTTTTATATTAATCTTAGATTTTCAAAGAGACTTACCAAAGATGGTGGGTGGCCTTATTGTGATATTCAATTTTATCTTAGCAATCCTAATCCCTAGCTAAAAGGTATATTTAATATCTATTAAACTAGATATAAATGGTGATTTGCTTAATAATATTTTTGAGTTTCCTGATATATCTTGCTAAAAAAATCCTTTTCTACGAAAAGTCAAGACAGAGCTCTCTACAGTTCAGCAAGTTTTGTCAGAATGGCCAAATCAACCCTTCAAAGGTTGAAAGTCAGAGTTCAAGTTCTCTTTAAAAATGTTGAACAAAAGTACCTATCTCTTTCTATTTCTAAACAATAACTAGTATATGCCCGTTGTCTACCCTTGTCTAATAAGTTCTGACTGTACTTTAGTTCACCCAGAACCAAATCTTGTCAATCTGGTGGATTGAATGACAATGACACAAGGACAAGTGACACAATAACAATAAACAAACCCTATCTTTTATTAAAATAAATAACTAGAATTATTATTACTTATTTTAGGATAGAAATCTCAATGACATGCGAAAATGAAAAGAAGAATATTATTAACAGGATATTAAAGTGTAAAAATGTAATTAAAGAAGGTCAGTAACTTTAGGACTTAGATTTTGGTTCTTCGAATACTAAAGGTATGTTTTATTTAAAATTTTAGATAACCAGAATTAACTGGGTGAGGGAGACTACTAAATATCATCAGGTTTTAGATTTATTTTCTTCACAGGATATTTTTATAGATTTTAAATATTATTAATATTAAACGTTTCATTTTCATAAGAGGTGCATTTTTATCACTAGTTCGGAGAGTAGTATATAGTAGGAATTTTGAAACCGTAACAATTTTTAATACATAATAATATATTATGCACCAATATCTTCAATATTTACATTTATGTAACTAAATACTAAATGTCGCAACTTCTTATTTTACTTATAGTATCACTTACATTATTAAATGACATGCCCTGGTATCCTAACTTACACATGTTATTTAGATCAATAAGTAATAGAGACTGATATGATGATTCTGCCATGCGTGCTGAGTGGCAGTGTAAAACGAGGAGAATATATATAATAGTTTAACCATGGTTGGTACACGTGAAATTACGAAAAGAATGTTTAGTGTCCTATTTATACCTTATTCCACATGGAAACTACCACTCTCCTGCGGGTAGTCATATAAACTCCAGATTCAAACGATTTACCAAAAGCGAATCAGCAACTAATCTATGTTTAATATTTATTATGCCATTCAATTTCATTGTTGTAAACTGTGGAAGCAGAGCTAATAGTAACCAAGTCTCTTTTTCTTTTTTCAGACTACAAAATTTCTACATGGAAACAGTTTATCAGCTATTAACTAACAACATTTAATATTTTCTTACATTTATTCCCATTTTCGTATATTCGTTATCATTTTCTTACATTTATTGCTATTTTGTTACATTTATTGTCATTTTATTGACGTTTAACTACCATTTTCTTAAACTAATTACATTTAGTTACATTTTTCCTTCCCTCCAATCTACTTCTTGTGGTGCCATTGCCACCCATCGTATAAAGCTGATGTAACTCGTAATTCCTATTCATAAGCCACGCCACTGTTCCATATTAACATTCAATGCAGATAATAATGCGGTGGACTATGATTCCAGACACCCGTTTATTGTCTCATTCGGATTTGTAATTATAATGACTCTCCGACTCATCTTTGTCACAGTGATTGCGACTTACCGAATAAACTACCTTAGGTGCTTCGTATGGGCGGATTTGAGTCACTGAAGACTATAGAATATCGACATCCCGCTTTGAATAAGTGTCGCGCGAGTTTAGCTGAAGAGACTTGTCTCTTTGTGAAGACATTTTCATGAATAATAACAATGTCGAAATTCTTTATGGTATTGTCATTGTGTGTTTACGATTATTAAAAAGAATAGTGGATTAAGGTGTAAAGGAGCGGTTGGATGAGAAATTCTTGCGGTCGTGCTGCTTTGCGGTTGAGGATTAAAATTAGATTTCGCATCACGTATGGTACCACGTTTCTCACCGCAGA